GACATCATTTTTTGGTGTTAGTTCTAGGAGGTGTTGTAGGTCTTCATAGAACCGGTCCACTTCAGCCTCTTCTGCATCAGTGGTTGGGGCATAGACTTGGATTACTGTGATGTTGAATGGTTTGCCTTGGAATCGGACAGAAATCATTCTGTCATTTTTGAGATTGTATCCCAGTACTGCCTTTTGCACTCTCTTGTTGACTATAAAGGCCACACCATTTTTTCTACGAGATTCCTGGCCACAGTAGTAGATATAATGGTCTTCTGAGTTAAATTCGCCCATTCCTGTCCACTTTAGTTCACTGATTCCTAGGATATCGATGTTCAGTCTTGCCATCTCATTTTTGACCACGTCAAGCTTACCTTGATTCATAGATCTTACATTCCAGGTTCCTATGCAGTATTGTTCTTTGCAGCATCGGACTTTCCTTTCACCATCAGACACATCCACAACTGAGCGTCCTTTCGGCTTTGGCCCAGCCGCTTCACTCTTTCTGGGGTTACTTGTACTTGTCCTCTGCTCTTCCTCAGTAGCATATTGGACACCTTCCGACCTGAGGGGCTCATCTTCCGGCGTCATATCTTTTAGCCTTTTGATACTGTCCATGGGGTTTTCTTGGCAAAAATACTGGAGTGGGTTGCCATTTCCTTCTCCAGGTGGATCACGCTTGGTCTGAGTTCTCTGCTGTGGCCTGTCCGTCTTGGGTGGCCCTTCACGGCATAGCCCACAGCTTCATTGAACTGCGCAAGCCCCCTCGCCACGACAAGGCAGTGATCCATGAGGGGGGGTACCTATTTATCTACTTGCAATTTCTTGCTTTCGAACTGCTAGGTTGGCAGGAGCTGGAACTAGAGACAGGAGCTCACCCTGTCTTGCGGCACCCGGGTCTTGAACCGCTGAACTACTGACCTTCCACAGCCTGCAGTTCAGCGTCTTAACCACTTGAGCCACCGCTCAAATTGGGTGAGGGGACAGCAAAGTGGTAAATGTTCAGTATAAATAAATGTGAAGAGGTCTGGCTGTGTTTGGAATACTGTAGAGAGTTCTGGTTGTCCCATCTCAGAAATGATATTATAAAGCTGGAAATGGTAAAAATGATCAAGTACCTTCCATTTAAGGAAAGGATAAGGAATTTGGGACAGATAAACATAGATGAGAGACAATGACAAGAGACTTACAAGATTATATATTGGGTGGAAAAAGCAGTTAGAACTTTTCCTCCCCCTCCCATAATATTAGAACCCAAGGGACCTGGTTAAAATGGCGGGCAGTCGATTCAGGACAAAGGAAAGAAAATACTTCACAAAACTTGTGCAACTTTTTTGACGACTTGGTGACGGCTTAGATTATTTTTAAATCGGACACATTAATAGAGATAAATATCTATCAATCACTATTCTTCATGGTGGCTGAATTGGACCTCCATGTTAGATGGAAGTATAACTCCAACTGCAAGCCAGGAAGGGGGGGGGGCTTGGCATTTGTGGACCTTCCAGTGCATCTGGTCAGCCATTGTGGAAAACAGGGTGTTGGGCTAGATGGATCATTGTTTTGATTTAGAAAAGCTCTTCCCATGTTCATAACATTCAAAGAAGCCAGTAAAGACATAGCTCAATGCACTCAGGTCCACTATTATATTTTAATAATTCATGAAGCCCACATTGTTACCTTAACCACCAGGAACGTGTAAGGGAAGTTAGGTTGAGAGAGAAAGCACCTGGTTCAGGATCACCCACTGAACCATGGGTGAAGTTCACCAAACAGGGGTCTGAGCCTGGGTCTTCCAGGTTTAAAGACAGCCTCTACTCCATATAGATAAGGTTGCCAGGTCTGGCTGACAAGCTGATGGGGGATTTACCAGGAGGCTTCGGGAGAGGGGAGGGAAGAAGCACAACGTTCCTATGTCCCCTCCGGGTGATGTATGCACACCAGGGACTTCGGGTAAGACATGCCTACATCACCCGGAAGTGATGTACGTACGTTGGTGATGGGGGGAACACTCTGTTTTTTGGGCAGAACTGTATGTTTTAAAGCTAGTTCTACCATAGAGTTTTGCCCAAAAAACAGAGCATTGCCCCACAACGTCACCAACATGCCTATGTCACTTCTGGGTAAGGTAGGCCCATTGGGGGTGTAATTCCTCAGTGGAGAGGAGGAGCACGCTGTGGCCATTCCCCCATTTTTTTATAGCATTGCAGTGGGGGAGGGGTTCCAAATCAGTGGATCCCCCGCCCCCAACTGAGGAATGGCAACCCTACATATAGAAGAGGGGGAACAATAGAGTGCAAGCATGAGAGGAGAGGTGTTTAGTTGTACATCGTAGCTGGGTCCTTGCATTTGGAGTCATGGATGAATAAAATGTTGGGAAGTCATTCTTACTGATCATGAAAGCTTTGCAGGCCAGTCTAGTTCAATTTCATTATTAAACCAGGAAGAATCCACAATCCCTAGAAGTTTGGTAGCATTACTTTAGATAAATGGCTTATCTTCTAGAGACATGAGGTCCTCTCCTTAATGATGAATTGCTTCATTCATTTCAGGGCACTGCATAACTATTCACACACCGTTGAGCTCAAGGCTAATTTCCCTTATTAGGATTGCATTTACCACAACAGAATGCTGTACAGCAAAGTCCTTTTATCTTCCCAAAGCAGACAGAAGAATTTATAATAAAAGGCATCTTCCAGTTGTAATTACAATTGCACAACTGCCCCTTCCTTTGAAATGCCCATAAGCCCAGGAATACAACTGCATGCCTGAAAATCTTTAAAAAATTGCACAAAATAGCCCAATCTCATTATCAAAATTGCATGTTTCTCCACTTGAGGAAGTAAGATTCCACCACTATTAATGCCAGCACAGAGCTGTAATGATTATGGAAAGCGGCTGTTTGTCTATTTAACATTATCAGCAATAAAGCCCAGGTTGACATTTTGTCTTTGCTACTTTGGACAATTCTTCTTCTTCTTCTTCTTCTTCTTCTTCTTCTTCTTCTTCTTCTTCTTCTTCTTCTTCTTCTTCTTCTTCTTCTTCTTCTTCTTCTTCTTCTTCTTCTTCTTCTTCTCCTTTGTTGGTGTGCCCTTGGGTCACTCACAGGTTCTCTCAGAGCTGTTCTCTCAAGAGCCGTTTCTGTCAGAGCTCTCTCAGCCCCACCTACCTCACAGGGTGTCTGTTGTGGGGAGGGGAAGGGGAAGGAGTTTGTAAGCCGCTCTGAGACACCTTTGGGTAGTGAAGGGCGGGGTATAAATCCAATCTCCTCCTCCTCCTCCTCCTCCTCCGAGTCCTCCTCCGAGTCCTCCTCCGAGTCCTCCTCCTCCTCCGAGTCCTCCTCCGAGTCCTCCGAGTCCTCCTCCGAGTCCTCCTCCTCCTCCTCCTCTCTTTCTCTGATTCCCTCAATTGTCATTTGTTTCTCTACTCTTAATTTATGGAGCCAATTTTGTTTATTATTACAACAACATTTGTTTTGTGGCATATGCTACAATAAGGATTTCTTGGGGGGATTCTGTTATAATCCCCAGTTGTTACATGTGTTCCTGCTTCAGTTATATGCCTCTTGTACGGTACTCCTGTAAATGGCTAAATCTAAGGTGGCACGTGTTTGCAAGATTTAGCAAGATCCATTTATTTAATTCATGACCCCCCTCTGTGAGAAGGTGCTTTGTCCATGTGGCTTGCTGGCGATCTTACAGAATTCTTTCTTTACCTGAAAACACACACACACGCACACCTGTGGAAAGATATTACAAGGAATGGGATACTTGTGTATGTCTCCCATGTCACTATCCAGCCCTCCCCTAACACTATCCAAATACTTGAGATCTAGGTCTTGAGTAGCCTTGGGGGGCAGAGAGCAGGAAAGTGGGAGGGGAATATGGGAAACACAAAGAAGTCTCCCATTCCTTGTAATGACTTGGCATGTTGCTTCTACATATGCAGAGAGCAAAAGAGTTCAGCTGAGCCCTATAGTTCTCTGGGGCATGCATTGCATCCTCACTAGGCCGAAGGATGGGGGCTTTGCTTTTAATAGGCAAAAGATGTCGTTTAATGGTATACATAGATTTTATTCCATTTCTTCTCCCATTTTTACCCTGTCTTTTTGCCAAAGAACTGTACGCAGAAGAAACTCTTCAGGTTGTTTTTTTTTGGGGGGGGGGGGTTGCAGATGGGAATAGAAGGCTGTTTCCTTTCCACTTCAGTTTCCTAACATGAATGAAAACTTGCATTGTCAGCCTTCAGAACTATATAAACATCCCGGCGGTGGAGCAAGAGATGCATGTAGAGCAGGTCCCACAGGCCTCGGTTGTAGCCCTTCCCTCTTCTCCCAAGCCATTGCATTGCTGGGTACTCTACTTCTTTCCCAACTGCAGCCATGCACACCAACACAAGCAAGGCCACTGTATGCACTGTGTGTTTGGGAGGGGGGGGGAGGTTGTCCTTTCATAGAATTCTAGCAGGCAGGCTGCCCTGAGTAAAACCCAGTTAGAGGCATTGCAGAGACAGGAGGAAGAACAAGCTGCTCGGGTTTCCTTGGTGCATCATGGAAGATTTATAGTGGAGGTCTGCTGCAGCCATGACGGCACAGCCTGCTTCCCATGTATCCAGGGAGTGGGAGTTTATGACCTAGGACAGGTGCAGTTGACTTCAAGCAGCACTTATATCAGTGGGGACTTGAGTCCTTGTAGCTGAATCAGACTTATCTGGACATCAGTTGCCTGCTTTCCCTAACATATAGATGATTTGAGTCCAGTGGCACCTTTAAGACCAACAAAGTTTTATTCAAGGGATAAGCTTTCATGTGCAAGCACACTTCTTCAGATACACTGGGTTCGCACACGAAAGCCTATCCCTTGAATAAAACTTTGTTGGTCTTAAAGGTGCCACTGGACTCAGACTTTGTTCTGCTGCTTCAGAACAACACGGCTACCCAATCTGAATATCGACAATTTATTTGCTTAAGTGGCTGCCTACTGGTAATTTCCCCCCTCTTCACCTTTTCCTAGGACCGCCACAGCGAACAACCTCTCCCAAGCAAGACCACGAAGACAGAAAGCATGAAAAAATCACAGACAAAGGGAGCGAGAGTGGAACGTCCTGCAACGAGTTGTCCACCTCGAGTTGTGACAGCCACTCTGAACCAAGCACGCCCCAGGAAAATGCCACTTCCGCCCAGCCAGCCGCAGGGCACCAGCCAAACACTCTAACTTTGGATCGGCCCTCTAAGAAGGCCCCCGTGCAGTGGATGGCGCCCCCAGACAAACGCAGGAACAGTGAACTTTTTCAGACTCTCATTAGCAAGTCCAGAGAAACAAACCTTTCCAAAAAGAAGGTGTGCGAGAAGCTGAGCGCTGAAGAAGAGATGCAGAAATGTATTCAGGACTTTAAAAAGATCCATATTCCGGATGATTTCCCGGAGCGCAAACGCCCTTGGCAGTCTGAACTCTTACAGAAATATGGGCTATAGTCTTTTCAGTATTTCTTGACACATCAATGGTGCGTTTAGTGTTTATTAAGTTGCCACTTTATTACTGGTGTACCTCTTCTTTCCAGCCCACTCTGAGGTAGACCGAGTCGTCCTCTGAGTCATTGCTGCTGCTTCGTTCTCTGTGTGAACACTGGGTGTCCGATGGGTTGATTTCTTATTCTTTCTTTTCTTTTTAAAATTTGGAAATAATGGAACGAAAACATTATGGATCGTTTTATAATAGGTGAAAATGTGCATGATCAACACATCTTTGGTTTTCAACCTTCCCATCCATGAAACAAATATATCCATCAGGCCATTTGTCATCTTTTGTCCACAATAGTGGTGATGCAGAATTCCAACGGATGAAGAAAGAAGGGGGCTTGCGATGACAGAATTAAATCCAAACACTCTTTAAAAACGTTAATGCAATAAAGCAAATGTCTGTTTTGCATGAGCACTATAGGGACAACTGAACCACACCCGGGGGGGGAAAAAGGTCTGTCTGCTGCTTTGGATAAATATTTTTTGTTCAGTACCCAAGGCCCTAAGTGTACGTCTTTGGAACTGAGCTTTGTGAGGATTTGTGTGTGGCTGTGTGTTGTTTTGTAAGGATGGTGTAAATACGCCCTTATGCTATTTTATGGCTGCACCAACATTCACCTGCTCGTGTTCATCGGGACTATTTCTGTGAAACGCAAAACTATCAGCAGCTTGTGAAAACTGGTTTGATAGTCTGAAAATTTCTGTTTTCATGTTAGTCAACAAAGTTGGGGGGGGGATTAAAACAACAAAAAAAAGACCGTAACATATTTGTTCAAAGGGGCCTACTGTTAGATTTTCTTGATGAATGGCTCTTCTGTTATTAGTCTGTCTGAGTCGTCAAGTGGGTTTTTAAGGAGAATTTTTGCAGTGTTTTTGCTTCTGCTTCATTATCACATCACAAACTAACATGTTTCAGCAGAAAAATGAATAATGTTTGGGGGGGCTATGTGAGTCTTAATATGTTCAGTAGAGAATCCGCATGATTGAAAAGAACGGCGTTATTGATTACTGCTCAGTATGGTAGCGATAAAATCTCAGACAGGATTACACAGAGAGTACTTTAGTTGACAAAGGAAAATGATACTTCTGACAACTGTTGGGAAATTTACTGTTAAAGTATCTAATCTAAGATGTCATTAACAAGACACGTCAGACAAAAACTGTTTTTTTCCAGTGTACAAAAAAGAATATTTATTCATAATGTCATAAAAATAATCTGGTAAAAACAAGCATGTTTGGATGGCTGATGAATTTTCAGGAATTTATGAAATGTTGTGTATTATGTTTTTATATATAACTGTTTGCCTTCTTAACCCTGTTGGCTTCTGATTTTCCTTACGACTTTGCTAATTAGACAAAAGTAGGTCATTTCACTGGGCGCCATTGATCAGTGTAGAATTTGGTCATGAAAAAAGTCAAATCTCTTTCTTTCTCTCTCTCTCCATCCTTTAATTTATGCATCACTCTGTACATGTACCTCAGGACCAAACTCAGTGAGACAGGTGTCTCTGGGTTCGCCTCAGGGAAGCACTGCCATTTTAAAGACTGAATCCCAACTCATGCTTTTAAACTGCAGGGGCCTGATTCTGGTCTGGATCACCACGGCACAGGGGGAGGAGGGAATCTCCTCTAATCTATATATCTAATTCCCAACATGCCCCCTCCGTGCGGATATCTAAATCCGCACATCAGGGGCACTTGGGTGGCAGGGGAGATTTTCCTGCTCATTTGGGGCAATACCCAGATGTGCAGAAAAATCTGAAAACTTGGAAAAAATATGCAGGGGATATTTTAATCCCCCCAAAAGTAAAAGAGTGTTCCCTGCGCAGGCACAGGGAATGCTCTGAGAACAGCTTCGCCGCCGCCAGGGAGGGAGAGGTGGCAGGAGAAGGCTTGGCCGGTGGGCAGCTGTAAGCTGCTCAGCCCTTGCCGCTGCCGGGGTGGGGGGGAGTTTGGCAGGCCAAGCTCAGACCTCGCTGCCGCTGCTGCTGGGGGGAAGGGGGAGTGGGAAAAAGCTTGGCAGGCCAGCCAGGCCTCACCGCCGCTAGGGGAGGGGGGAGGGAGAAAGCTTGGCGGGCTGAGTTCATGCCTTGCCGCCAGTCCTGGGGGGGGGAGGGAGAATGCTTGGAGGGGCACGGGCCTCACTGTGGGTGCCGGGGATGGGGGGGCAGGGGAGAAGGCTCACCTGCGGCGCGCCTCCGCCTCCCCCCCCCCCCGCGAGTATCGCGGGTCCCCCTTCTTGTATTTTTCTAATGTGAAACTACTTTATACAGAGTGATTAAAATGTAGAATTCACTGCCAGAGGATGTAGTGATGGCCACAACAATAAACAGCTTTCAAAGGGGAGTAGATAGATTCATGGAGGATAGGTCTGTCAATGGCTACTAGTCATGGAGACTGAGGGGAACATCCACATTCAGAGGCACTAAACCTCTGAATCCCAGAGCCAAGAGGCAACATCAGGGGAAGACCTCGGCCTCTATGCCCTGTTGGTGGCCCTCCAGAGGAACTGATGGGCCACTGTGTGAGACTGGATGCCAGACTAGATGGACCACTGGTCTGATCCAGTAGGGCTCTTCTTCTGTTCAGGGGGCATTATTTATCCACAAGCCCCCTGGTGCCATTTTGAGGAGGAAAAACAGTGCCGGGGGGATCCCCTCCTCCCCCTGCACTGCAATTTCCCAGCCAAAATCAAGGCCCCACACCAGTATAAAGGGGTTCCCATCTGGGTCGTCTTTAAAGTGGGGCTGCGTCCCTAGTGTGAACCCAGGAATGCCTGTCTTGTCTAATTAGGCCTTCAGAAGCATGTGGAACTGCACCCGTTGTATGATTTCCAGACATCTGTTATGGAATACAGCTGTGACCTCCAGAGAAGTGTAGCCCAGGCTTGACTCTGCCGGCAGACCTCCTTGTTCCCATGATAGCCATGCAGAGTTATGATGTGTGACGTGGCACATTGCTTTTCATGAAGAAGAGGTCTATGCAACAGGAAGTCTAAATAACTCTGCTTACCACTGTTGAACAGTGATTGATGTTGGGAAGTAACTGTGATGCTAAACCACCATGAAAGTAAGTGCTTCTTCCTGGAGATATTATTCCTTCCTCTCTCATTTCACTGTTGCCATCACTAAATGAAGCAGTATCTCAAAGCGTCCTAAAACAAAGCACAAATTGTGGTATCAGAAGAACTGGTCCTCAGATGAAGCCCTGATCAATCAGACCAGTGGCCCACCAATTCCAGCATCCTTTTTCACACAGTGACCAACCAATTTATCTAGAGGGCCAAGGCCTTCCCCTGATGTTGCCTCCTAGCACTGGCATTCAGAGGTTTACCAGCTCTGCGGGCAGAGATTCCTTTTAGTCATCACAGCTAGTAGATGGGGCATGAACAAATCTTGCATATAGAACTATTCTTACTTAGCAATAGAAAGAAAGCCAGTGAATGGCTTGATTGAAATCCCTGGTGGGTTGCCACCATCACGTCCCTGTTATTTGTCCAAACTGATCTTATATATGAAAAAAGAAGGAATATAGAAGGTCACTCTTTATGTACTGAGAAGGTGGGATAAGATTTATTTTTATTTTATTTTTATTTATACTTTTGATTTCTTATACCGCTCTAATCCCGAAGGTTCTCTGAGCGGTTTACATTGTAAATTACCAATTCTAACTAGGGCCACATAGTATTGGGAGGAGGTGAATACCTAACAGGCACCCTGCCCGTTCTTTGTCGATCTCCCAGCGGATCTCCTCTCCTTTGATTCTGCGCTGTAGTATCTTTGTTTTTGGCTTGGCTCCGCAGCGGCTCCTTCCGGGCAGTTCCGTTGCTCCACGACTGTGCGACGGCCCCCTTTCCTCAGCCTCTGTCCTGATAGGCTCTGGCCGAGCTGTGCCGAGCTGTAGAGGGAGTGACATTTTGAAAACACACAGCAACCATAAGCTAGGCCACAGATTAATCAGCAGCCTGTCAGACCCCAGAGGAACCACTCTCCACTCAATATTCCTTAGCAAGGTTTATTGGTAAGATTTGGACTTCTGGTAAGGTTAACACCTGTGTCAGAACTAACAAGCAATAGCATCGGGTCGGTGAATGGGGAATGGGCCCCACCCCTCAGGCACACGTCACACACACCCAGGCTTACTACAGGTCATGAAAGACTATATGACCTAACTAGCTATGTCTCAAGTCTTATCGTTCCAAGGCCACAGGGGTAGCTTCAGGAAAATTACGAGCGGCACCTCCACCCAACACCAGGCACTCATTCTCACACTCTCCTCCCCCCCCCTTGGGAATGTCAGGGAGGACTGACAAGGGAATAGGCAAGCGGGCAGATGTGCAAAGCGAGGTGTTTTGTTTTTTTACAAAAGCGAAAGTAAGCATCAGCAGCACAAGGCAACAAAGTCACAAACATCAATCAAGAAAGGGGTCCGATCCTGACACAGCCATTGCAGATCTACATTCTCTGCAGCAGGGGTCATTTCGTAGAAAAAGAGGTGCCGGAGCTCATTAGCATAACTCATTAGCATAATCTATTTGCACATGCCACACCCCCTGACATCACTGGAAGTGTGTCAGAAGGCAACACCCACCGCTCAGGCTCCACTGGACTGTTAGGGATTGTTAGCTATTGGGGGGGGGGGAAACGTGCAGATCTGTCCTCGCAGAGGAGGGAGAGCTTGTACCTGAATAAAACTTGGTCTTAAAGGTGCCACTGGACTGTTTTGGATTGCTAGCTATTGGGGGGGGGAACATGCAGATCTGCTCTCACAGAGGAGGGAGAGCTTGTACCTGAAGGCGGGCTGGGGGGCCCCTCTGCAACTTACCTGGCTGCTTCTTGCTCCTCGTGGCCTGACTGAGGGCTGCTGGGACCAGGGGGCGAGGCTTGTTGCATGTGTCCACCCCCTGGGTTCCTTACTGCTGGAGCGCCGCTCCTGTGCGCTCCCACAGGAAATGA